TGAGAGATCAGCCTCTATTTTGCTGAATCGTGAGTTCATTTCATAGGTAGAGAACCTTTTTTAGCTTGTTCTAAGTTTCTTGTCCTCCTCTTACAGTTTTATGTTGGAAATAAAGCCTTGACAATTTCTCCTGTACTGGCCACTTCCCTCCCACACTTTCCATAGAACCCTAACAAAAAGTGCTCCAATGTCACTTTTTGCTCTACGGCCACACGATACCAAATCCCTACATACCCCTTTTGAACAGATCCTCTCAATTGTTCACTTTTCCTCCGGCAATGCTGTGCCAAACCTTGCACGATATTTTAGGATCACGTGTTGTTTGTCAGACAGAGTGTATATCGCATTTGCTGTTTGTCTAGGTCCTTCTATTTTTGGGAAAACTGGATGGGAAAATATATCTAATTATATCATATTGAGATCACTCCTGTAACCAAACTGTGAAAAAAAATCAATTCAAAGACTGCTTTAGAAAATAAGCAACTGAGGAGTTGTCTTTCCGTTACATATTTCCTTTGAACAGGAAGGAAGTGTGATGGGCAAGTAGTGGTGCTATCGCAATGGCCCAGCCATCAAGCCCTACACCCCTATGAGACCACAATTTTTGCCAGATTTTAGCTGGTTCCAGATTCATGTGGGAAATCCACACAAGTCTAGGCTAAATGCGCAATCAGTTCACTAGGTTCTGATTTCAAATCTGATTGTGGGGTCGGGTAGGGTCAACCGTCACGTTGGTTCGATTTCAAATTTTTTACGACCCCTCCCAAGGGGGCTTCGTATGACCCTCCATCACCATGAGCCCTAAGAGAGACCTCCTTCTATACGCGCCCCCTATCCTCAACCTCGACGACTCCTGTAAATGGATGATGAAGGCAGACAACCGGGTGCGTAGCAGGCTTAGGCATAAGCCAATGTGTAAGCAAAAGCCTTAACCTGAAGTCTAAACCCCTTAAGCTTCAATGATCGCGCAACTGTGGTGACCTGACCCCAGGAGGAGAAACGCACGTCTCCCCAGACAACCTCATTCCTTTGACCGCTTCAAGTGTTCAGCACCCAGTTATCAGTCTTTTCACCCCTTGCTGTTGGCGAAGAAATGGACGCAATAGTTGGGAGGATAGAAACATTGTCAATAGATTGAGCTGGTTCATTGATAAAGCTGGTTTCTACAGATGCTTGCAAACTCATACAGGTTTATAATCGCTTATCAAGGCAACATTCGCTCACCTCTGGTGTAACATCCCTTTTTCCGAATCCTGTTCCACCTGTTGTGATGATGACATCTGAAGGTCAATCTTATAAAATCACAAAATTGCACACTTCTTGTAAAAGGTTCGTGAAAAAACACATCAAACTCACCACTATTAGCACTCATTTGGACAAGAGCGGCTTCTATCATTCCACGCTCATCCGGAACGATCATTGTTGAGCTAATAGTTCCAGCTTCCACCCTGGAACTAGATAGCGCTCGCCCAACGCTTCAGTAGCATCGACTTTCTTAGCTCCCTTTTCGTAAGCGATAATAGGTAACTTCTATATAGTCTTAAGGAGGTGCGAGAGGGACAGTTTTCTCATTACAAGCCACTTAGGCAAAATGATTGGGAATGGGTAGTAAATCATCTTACCGTGGGATGTTTTGCCTCTTCTCACTTAGAAACCAGCTAGTCAGCATTTTGACTTGTTTTTGATCGTCAACTGCTGTTTTCGATCACAGTTCATCATGGGAAATTTATTACTAGTTGGAGTTCGGGTTGTAGGCAAAAAAAAACTTCCCCAACGTGAATCAACTCCGCACCTTACTGAAGTGAGAGGTGCGGACAGGATCTATCGTCACGTTGGTTCGATTTCGAAATTTTTTACAACCCATCTCAAGGACGCTCAGTATGATCCCCCCCCCCCCCCATGAGCCCTAGATGGGTCCTGTCCCCACACGGCCCCTATCTACCGTCGAACCATCGACTTCAATTATAACTGTTTTCATGATGGTATTTGATTCTGCAGAGCACGCAACACAGCCAACTCCGGAAACTTATCCAGTTCAAAACGACCGGCGATTGGGGACGGTGGGGGGGCGAATATCGGACTGATAAGCGCAACTCAATTTCTTTAATTCCCCATGTCACTTCTTGAAATTTCCGGTGCCAATAGGGTGAAAAAAGACAGACGCGGACTATCCAGCAGGTGTCTGCGGTTTTTGCATCACTCATCTCTGAGCAGCTCTACGTCATTTTCACAAGGCGACCAGTTTGATCGTATCACCTGTCTTTGCAATCTATCCACGGTGCCACGAGCGGGCATGGTTTTATCAATTTTCTCTTTCTGGAGTGATGAAGGAAAGAAATAAGAATAAATAAAAATTGCCTTCATAGTTGATTTCAGGTTTTCAATTATGGTGAAAAAGCGTCGTCTCACCTGTGTGATTTCTTTATAAGTTCCACAACCGCGGGACCACTCAAGTCTTCGCGCGTTCCAGCCGCACATGAGTCGCTCACTAAAAAGGTTGAACAAATCATTAGCTCAAGCATGGTTCACTGGTTTTCTTCTATATCACAAAACAATTGTGTAGTTCTACTAAGCATCTACAAATACTTTTTTCCACAGGGACCAGTCTGTAAAATGATAAAAAAGCACTTTGAGAGACTCATACGTGGTGTTGAAAAAATTCTCAAGACCACATAGGTGAGTCCCGCAAAGTGCTTTTTGATGTTTGGCGTTATCCATGGGAAAGCGGGGCGAAGAAGAGATTCGATGCAGTAGTTCGTGCCGCCTACAGTAATCCTAACTTTTGCAGTGCCAAGAACCTCCTGAATGACACTAAAAATGGAGTGGTTTACACACCACAGGGATTTCTTCTTCATGGTACTCGAGGCGACAAGCGATATTAACACCTTCTTCATTGCATTGACTTCTAAGCCGGAATCAACCCTTGATTTTGATGGAGTGGTTGCACATCGGAATGGGTGCTATTTCTCGAAAAGGTGGGAAGAACGTTCTTTCGAATTGGAGTTAAAAAAGAGGGTTGGGAGAAAACCTCCAATTCCCTGACGATTGACAGCTAGCCCGATGTCAGACTTTGCGAATCGCGCGATTCGCTAGCGTCTGCGGTCGCGTCGCGGCCAGTGAATCACTCAATTGGCTGGTACCGCAACGCGACCGCGGACGCTAGCGAATCGCGCGAATCGCTAGTAGCGAATCGCGCGATTCGCAAAGTCTGACATCGGCCTATACCAGGCCGTAACCTCTATTCTAGCCGTGAGGAGTCGTCCACCTAAAACCAATGGACGAAGTTTCAGTTCTCGAGTTACAACTGATTCTTCTGATTGTTGTTAACAGCCCCCAATTATTCAGAATTACTACTTGAGTAATCATTATTTATTTATTATTACTATTTGTTATCATTATTTATTTATTGTTTATTCGTATCAATATTTATTTATTGTTTATTCGTATCAACATCAAAATCGATCAAGTGACTGTTACGGTTAAGCTATGAACAAATCGAATTAAACGTGAACGGAGAACTTTGCAAAAGTCTGCAAGAACTAGTAACTGCTGTAGCAATAAGTCATACCTGTTAGCACTGAAAAACGCATACTTCACTCGAGGAGAAGGTGAACCTGAACGCATCATAATAACATTCCATAGATACGAACGAACAGGTGAAAGAGTACAATCGTTGCGAAAACCAGTATAGTCTCTGGAGATTGGCAGCAAGGCTAATTGGAAACATTCCTCTTCTCGCTCACAGAAGTTTCACTTTGTAAAGAGCATCATGCACGTATTCACATGAATTCGGGCATGGAAAATAGCACTTACCCCGTTTGAGAGAATATTGGGAAGGTTACCGAATGGAAAAACCCAGCAAAGCTCCGAGTTATGAGGGTTTCCATGGAGAGTTACCCAAGCTGTCAAGGAAGAATTGTAGGCGCAAGAGCAACAATTGTGTGCTGTCGGGTATGGCGTCCAGGGGAACCAAATACCTCCCACGAGCGGACGTCCCTCAGATTCAGCACACAGAGCAAAAAGTCATGGAAAGGTTGTTCTTCCGGAGATAGAGAAGATACCAAAATGCTATTCTGTGCTGTAAGGATCCTTGCTGAGATTTGCGTTCCTATATGTATCCTTGCCTCTATCAACGGTCGACATTGGTCGCGAAAGTATGAGAACGTTGCTCCAGGCTGGTCGCCGTCCTCACCATACTTCAACAGCGGCCCGGAGAATCGGCTTGAGTGTGTTTCGCGTGAGATTCGAGTAGGGTTAAAGGCTAGCCAGCGAGGAGGTCGAAAACTACTTGGCGTTTAAGATTCCCCCAGGTGCTTGAGGACACCTAGGGAAGGTTGAAGACATGAAACTATTAGGTTGGAAAGAAAGTCCTGCAACACTTTTTCAAATTTTTGATTTTAATTTTATCTTTTTTGTTTACAACTCCTGACCGGTCTTATATCTACCATGAGTGTCCACCACTTGTCTTCAACGCTCAGAAAATTTCTTGATGCTCCTTTGCCAAAACCCAGCGGAGTGCGGGTCGAGAAAGGAGGCGACCTCACTTTCGAGTTGGAGTTGATCGTCTATTATTTCGTTATCAAGATGATGATTAAAGCAACAGTCCAGGCAGGGTTTCAACCATTTGGTTTTCAAGTGGTGGAAACATGCCTCAGCCTGATTGGAGTTCATGGGAAATGTCACAAACTTCAAAACTTACCTCTGAAAGGCGTTGGAAGCAGTCGAAATCCTTCAAGAGGGGCGGATCCACCGATCCGTGGTGGGGCCGCCTCCAAGCAGCTGTGCAGAGCGCTTGCTCGACTAGCGGTCGTTGCGGGACCGCCGCGCTGTATGAGGTCGATTCCATAAGAACGCAATTGAAGCGCTTCAATTTCGATTGCTGGCAAATAGTTATGTATTTGCAAGCATGCATGGCTATTTGCCAGCAGTTGCAATTGGAGCGCATGTACTACGGGCAGGTTCGGACAACTCGTCCAACACACGTCTCCCTAAACGGCAGGGGGAGTCCCTGTCTAAGCCCCTGCCCGACGTTTTTTTCTACTTTTTCTTTCTCCATTGACCAACTTCTCACCTGCAACGTCATTATAGGTGGTCCTTACCCGCGAATTCGTTCCTGGATTGTTGCTTTAAGATCAGGATAGGTGGCAGGCATTTACAGCTCGACCAGGGGATTACGCTAAGAGAGGAAGAAATCTTGCCGCAACTCCAGAATTTCTTACCGGGCTCATTTCGGATCATGGTGATTCGCAATGTCATGAAAGAAATGAATATTGTCGCGGTACGAGGGCTCTTGACGAGCTGCCTCGGCCAGCTTCTGGAGTTTCGCAGCCTAGACCTCTACCTACAAAATGCCCATAACGAAGAATTTATTGTAGTGAGCTTCCGTAAGAGCCCTACCTGTAATGGAGTGTGCAAGGACGCTGTTGGCTCCTTATAAAAATATCAAAAGATCGAAAGCTCTGGTAAAGGTGAAACACGCTGTAACGGCGGGACGACATGCTTGTTGAGCTATTGCAGATAGTTTCGGTCGTTGACACGATCATAGTTATGGAAGATTCTGCCTACTAGACAGTGATCGGGAGAAGTGGATTTAATAGTGGTCGAGATTTTTTGAATTTTCTTGGATAACTACTGATTGCAGCACTTATATCCACCTCGTGGACTAAAGCCTCGAGAATGCTCTACCATTTGTTAGTCATAAATATTACCTATGAGTTTTTCAGAAAAAAAGTTTTACAAAGTTGCAGAACCTTCTTTCCAACCTAATAATATGTGGGAACCTCCTAAGGGATCCGACGGATAGCTCTTAAACATTGTCATCTCCCCTAAGGAGGTTGGTTTCCGAAGTCGACCCCAAAATGCTTCCAGCAGACATGCTGTTTAGCCTTATTGTTAGGTGAGATGAGAGTCCCGATTAACATCTCGATGTTGTCGCAATAAAAGAGTCCGGGCCTCGGCAGGACTATCATATTCAGATACGTGCAAATACATTCTATATGAGTCGCTCTTTTAATCGTCTCTGTGCTTAGGTTGGACGAGCTAACCCCGTTGATGCTCCATAAAATTGCTCTACCTCTAGCAGTTTTCTTCATCTTACACTTGCTTCGATACATTTTATTATGGTAATCCAACAGTTATTCGCCATTCCCCCAAGTACGACTCTCCCCTACTCTCCACTGCCGATTGCGTCAACTTCGGCGGCCATATTTTGTCCTTAGTTTTTTGGCGCTTCTATCTAACAATCTGGCGCTAACAATAAATAAATCCGCTGATCGTTCTGTAAAGCGCATTACAGAAACGCGGTACCTCCAACCTCATGCGGAACGTCTCTAACCGCTGACTGGATAGCATTACAGCCCAAAAAGGCACGACATCGTGATCAAATGGACGATTGGCCTTGTCCTATTTTTATATGAAGCCCACATATGCTCCACATTAAATGTGGTCGAAAACCGTTCCTCGAAGTGATCGCCGGTCAAGGTAAACGTGTCAACTCGGTCGGAAGGTCACGAGGGAGCGCCTGTGTATTTTTTGTCAAGAGCAGATCGATTGGGTTGGATATGAGCATTGTGTTGCTGGAAATATGCAGAATGAGAGTAGTATTTCCCAGAAGGTAAAATCTTCCCTAAAAATTAGGTCCAACTTTTGATGATATTGAGAAAGGCAACTTGCTAGAAGATGTGCGTGCGTCTCTGTAATAAGATTCAGCTGGCTTTCTAACACTATCATACACTAATCAAAAGAGTCCAATATCGGCTGCCGAAGACCATTCTTTCTTCGTAGGAGGTGCGGGAGAGGAGGTGGGGGAGGGGGGAGGGGAGAGGGGGAGAGGGAAGTTCTTGATGGCGATCACGAAATGGGTCTAACGCAATAGTCGACCCAATGAGAGGATTCCATCAAATGTTTCTCGCTTTTCACAAAATCCAAGAAAAAGAGAGATAGAGAACGTAGATGTCAATCAATCAAGTGAATGGTGTAGAAAAACGGCAGAATGTGAAACTGTGAGTTATTTCAACCGATTAAATATATTTTACAATAAGAAGCTCTATTTTCAGAAAAATTATTGTGCCAACGCATAAGTGATATATAGCATTTTGCGCTATTTCTGAACGCTGTACAGCAAATTCTATAAGCAAGCGGATGAGCTTTCGAAACCGCGACATGCACAGAACCACATTTAAACCCTCTTCCTGGAAACGAAATGAAAAGTGTAATGAAATAAACTGAAGTGAAACCAGTAAAGATAGGAGCATGCGGAAGAAAAACAACTGATTACGTAATATATCGATTTGTTGTTTACACAGCAACATGATACGGTTTTGAAAAAGATTCAGTCAGACCAAATGATACCCAGTCATCCTTTCTAGGATGCGCCATGCATCCGACCTTGGTTCGGAAATGCACAGACTTTGATCGCAACGTGTAGTTGGCATAGGTAATGAACTACCATAGATTCTTCTCGTCCCTAGCGATAATCTCAGTTGCAGGGTCCGGTCGATTAACAAGTGAGCGTTCTTATCCTCCCAAACAAGGTCAATATCCATTAAACGATCCTAGAGGATACAATGAAGGAATGGCTTTGTTGAGATTTGATCCCTGACCATGTATTCAGTAACAGCGCTACTTGTCACTTCGCCATCTGCAATTCAGACCGCAGAGGTAATAAGTGGGTAGCTCATCAAAAGAAGCTACACAGCGCCAAATGCATTGCTCTATAGGCTATTTGTTGCCATAGCAACGTAAATCGCTGGATCTGGCCCGCAATCCGTTTTTTGCGCTTTCAAAGCTTTCCCTGGCCTTGCTATGTACTAATTGAGCATCCACGGCAACAGAACCCCCATATGTTCAGCGTTTTAGGGGTATGCTTTCCGGTCAGCTTTTTGTCAAGGCAGATCGACCTGCGGACCCTCAACACGCAAGATTATCGCCAAGGAGGAGAAGAAGTTAATTTAGATCTAGGTAAAATCTAAGATAGGTGAAGGAGGTAGTGGGCACTGCAATATCACCTATAAATTATGGG